GCGGAAAAGCCCACTTAGGGAATAATAATAAATAATAAAAGAGTTTATGCAGAAGAAGATAAACTGTTAAACACTAACCTGCTTATGCCCTCTTGAACCCAAGTGCGGGGTTGCAAAAGTTATGAAGTTCATGGGTTCTAGTCCAGCAATCCTTGCTTCATAAAACTGATCAAGGTGTTGCCCAGCAGTGTTAGCTCCCTCTTTTAAGAGGTTTTCAGGATCACTTGCAGATCTCGTTCTCGTAGAACATTCATATAGCCTCCCAATGGCATACCTTGCAACAAGTCCACCCAAGGAGTGAGCCACAAACGAAATTTTTTGGACCCCATGCCAACGTCTGACAACATCATTCACCTGCACCATGTAGTTTCAGATCATTTCAATAACAAGAAAGCTAAGATCTTGAGCTTTCTATGGAAATCCAGTAGATTTAAGAAAGAAACTATGATAAGCATTCTATTACTAAAGTACCTCTTCAGCTAGCCTCTCACCCATGAGATCAACGCCATCAAAAGTCAATCTTGAAGGGTTGCACTCGCTACCTACCATCAATTTATGCCAACAAAAATATTGTGCTCCTAATAAGAAACTTAAGTAAAAAGTTATTCTAAAAGAGAATATTCAAAATGCGAAATTTAGGTGATACATAAGTTATGTAGTTAACTAAATATAAAAGTCTCAGACTAGAGAAAAAAAGGATCAAAATAGTACTCTCTGCTCAGATAAGGATCGCACATCTAAAGCTAAATTCGAAGAAACAAGATAATCATAGTTAGAGTGTGAAAATGAATGTCTCGAAGTAGTATCTCGATACGCAAGTTGAAATGCTCAAAAGCAAGAGGAAAGCAGACAAACTTTAGTAGATATGCAAGGCTGGATCTATCCCATTTTGGGAATTAAGCAAAGAGGTCAAAGGTAGGGTATATACCATTTTTATAGGTCAACAAAAAAGGACAGGCTTATTGAATCGGATAGAATGGAAGTAGGAAATCCATTCACATTATCTTATAAATTTCCTTTTTCATTTCAGTTTAAAACTTGAGAGATAGTTATTTAATAGCATGCCATGAACCAAAGGCTACTCTACCCTGATTCTTAAGCACTCAATAGCAATGCTAAATGCAAATGAAGTTCTGTGATGTGATCTAATTCACCAGATAGGGAGACCAAACCAAGAGATAAACTTACGATGAACAATAACTTTATCAGGAAGCTGCTTCACAAACTGCTCAGCAGCATATCTCCAATCTGCAGCACTGAAGACGTGGAAAAAATAAAAATTTAGTAAAAAGTCGATAAAATTCGAGTGGCATAAGATGAAGATTATAGTCAAAACCCCCAAGTTACAAGGAAAGCTTTTCAGGTACTGTAGCATAACCCACCAATGACTATTAGGTTCCATGTATATAGTTCTTAATCTAATCATTTGGGTTTTGACTTCTAGATATTTAAATGGAGATGCATCCTCATCATAAAATTTTTGCAATTAAGTTGTTTGTTCAAGAGTCAATATAAATAAAGCATGCAAATAAGGCAAGTGCGGCACTGATTAATAAAACCTAGCAAATATGAAGTAATAAATAAAACAAGTGTAATCGCGAAGTTCTCTCATCCCGAAGACATGAACAAGTACAAAAAAATTTGAAATAAGAAATTCTTCCGTACAAATATAGCCGATTAAATATCCCAATAGATCTCAAGATCCATGGATAATAGTTCGTGCATTTTGATCAGAACAGAGCAGTTTCGATCAAACCATAATAAACCTCCTTCACACATTGGTTTTAACACTGCTAATTTGGCGCAAAGTTTAAGAAAGATCACCTGGCTACCACTGTTTCAATTCAAACTTACTCACTACTTTTTGTCACGTGCTTAAAATTAGGTATAAAGGCATAGGATGGACAATTCAAAATCCTGAGGGGGGGAGGAGGAAAAAATGAGTAAAGCAGAGGAAATTAGCTAACACCTTTACTTGACAAAATTTCATTTGCAATCATAATACCAATTATGAATCCCTAATCCTGGTTCCATTTATAGCTTAATCACAGTAGCAAATCATGTCATTCCTAGAAATGTAATTCACAAGAATCTAACTAATTTACCTGCCAATGATGCCATTTACCGTGATGACAAGATGGTCCGGCTGCATCTTAGACCCGGCGGCGGTGGCAGCGTCGTCAAAAACGTCTACACCGCCATTAACATACTCTGCTTCCACATTTTTATCCTTCTTTGATTTGTGCCCTAAGCACCCTCTACTCAATTTTCTTATCAAATCCATTCTTCCACTCTCATCCACCCACAACAGTCTAAAACCCTCTTTCTTTCTTGTCTTTCGAGTAAATCTTAAATTGAAATCCACAACTGGACAAGAAAATCTTGGAACTGATGAGATGGGTTTTGGGTTTGGAGTAGCATGTCGAAAAGGGATTTTGTTAATGGCGATCATACGAGAAGGCTCAATAAAAAGAGAGAATCATGAAAAGTTTAGAGAGAGAAAGAGGGAATAATAATGGAAGTGGAAGATTTTTATGGAGTTTAAAGTTTAAACTTAACAGATGCGTTGAAAATACTTGGGGTTGGAATTTATACCGTTATTTGGAGGGCTTCTTGATTTGGAATTGGAGAACTGTAACAGATTTTGACAAAAATCACGACAGTAGAAAAACAGATGGTGGCGTACTCTATAATATGATAAACAATTCCCACAAATTTCAAAAATTTTAAACGTGTTTTATTGGAATTTGGCACGTGATATTGATTAATATTGGACGTCTTTTCTTTTGAATATTGACTCTGTACTATCTAATCTATTGTTAACCATTGCAATTAGAAAGATATCGTTTGGCTGAATATTGAACAATTTTTCTATAAATACCCTTTTTCATTAAAAGTAACATATTTCATTTTTTTATTAAAAACAACAATTTTACATGTTACATGTTAGGGAACATTTGTTTTCATGTGTATTGTCAAAATATATCAACTCTTTATTAAAAACTATATTATAGTATTACACTTTTTTAAAGGTATTGTAGGATAACATTTTATTCCTTGTAAAGGAATACACATAATCTGTGTTAATTACTTTTTAACTGTAGGAAAACGTATATGTCAATCACTTACTTTATCATTTGTATGGTAACATATATGTTATCGTGTTACTTATTAATAACATAATCCACCCAAACCCTTGTATCATCGTGTTCAACATTCGAACATCTAGGGCATATTTGCTTTGAACCAATTGAGACATATTTCAAGTTTCAGGCATAAGTAATTCTTTTCCCACACATCATTTACAATTCTAATTCACCTAGTGACATAATTGTGTTCAGGCCCGGTCCTAGGGCGAGGCCAATGAGGCCTGCGCCTCAGGTCCAAGACCTTAGGGGGCCTCATTTTGGCCCAAAATTTTTTTTTTTTTTT